AGGTGTAGAGAGGAGTGTACGTCTCATTGATTGTAATAGCCAGGCCATCCTTGGATGGTTACACAACTAGCATACCCTACCCTTCTGGCTCCACTGATTAAGAACAACATGTTCACAACCAACCTTCAGTTGTGGGATTAATTATTTTGAGCGGTCACCAGACAACGTTCAGAGAAAAATGACAGTGTGTTACATCACATTTTTTATGTGTATCGGTGCTGTGGACTGTTGTGTACTGAGTGACATGATGAGCTCTTATTCGTCTCTGGACGGTCCGGTGACTGCATAGAATAATGTCTCTAATTGTGGACTTCTCAGAGCTATTGATCCTACAATACTGCTGGATTATTTTGTAAGCTGGCATTAATCTCAAAATGATTCACTTAGAGTGACAAGTTTATAGATATTAAATGACATAATATTTTTGTCATTTTTGTTGGGTACATTCAAACAGTGATAAATTTTGTCATAATTATTCTCGCCAATCTAATAATCAAATTTTTAGGTCCATCTTCGTAAATATGTCATTAAATCATTAATCATAGACATCAATGCCAGTTACCAACAGTCGATATATATCATTGGACCATATTCAATATACTAGGTAAACATCTTTTTTAAGTGAACTGATTCGATTTGCTAAAAAATATTTTAAAAATTAATGACCAATGAACTTCTTTAAAATTATTAATTCATATTAATTTGACATTTGAAATTTCGAACTATCGCCACTAATGATCTTATGACCTTTTCTCCGAAAATGTGGTATTTAAGGAATCTACAAAGGGAACAAGAAACATATCAGATTAGGCGGGTTAGATTGGTCAAGATCAATGAACTACATGATCTACATCATACATATACTGGTTAGATTGGCAAGATCAGATTAGGCGGGTTCAAGTCAGGTCAAGTTCAGGTCAAAAATTTTTATCCACATAAAAAATTGGTCGTGTTTGAGTAAAATAATATTAGCATTGAGTCAACTTTGAACTATATCCAAACCCGATCCATCAACCTTTAATATTTTCATATTTATAGAAAACAAATTATGCTGAAATGTCCATTAAAGCAAATTAACATATTTTAATGCTCATCCTACCCAAAATTAGGCAAGGATATTGGACATCCTTTTATATATATATATATATATATATATATTTATATGAGATTAGAGGTATTCATTACATAAGATAAATATTAATTATCCCTTTTCATGATTCTAGCATTAAATTAAAAAATTCTCTCATATCATTAAAAATAATAAGAAATTAACTTATAAACTTAGAATTTATAAAGGTTAATATTTTAAAATGAAATTGTATCTGTAATTACGTATATGTAGACTTCTGAAACTTTTCTCCAGCATCTATTTAGATACCAGACCGGCTCTTCCACCTTCGCCGCGACTTCGCTAGCGGACGGATATTCAGGACTCCTGCCGGCGATCCATGGACGGCCAGTGGGGGCCACCACGAGCCCTCCTATATCTCGCTTTCACCGCGCCTCGATCAGCTTCACCGTCCTCTCAGACTCTCTGCTCGACGAAGCTCTCACGAAGCCTCGCCCTCTGCGTCTCCTTCCTCACTATTCGTCCGTGATCGATCCTCTTATTAGCAAATAGCAGTCAATCATAGTTGATAATCTCTCTATCAAAAGTAATAATTCTTCAGCATTAGATCCTTCTTACTCTTAATACAGAAGGAGCTCCAATTAGTCTTTATTATTTCTGTGGAAGGTACGATATCAATACAATACTCGTATGCTATTGAGTACGAACTCAGTACCGTTTTTGCTTAATTTGAAGGTATATAAAGCTTCCGTTACAAAAAAACTGATCATTTCAGTTTTAAATTTATTTTAATTAAATTGCATTTTTTTAGACAGTTCGGTCAATTAAGTCAAACTCATACTTAAATAAGATATGCAAGCTTAGAACATAAGATTAGGGGTGTCAAAATCAGGTCACGGGTCGGGTTCGGGTTGACCCCGACTTTGACCTGCTACTGTTTGACTTGAACCGAACCAATCCGGTTTTGCAAATGGGTTGAAAATCAAAAGGCATGCTCGACCCGCATGGGTTATGGGTTGACCCGACGACGGCACGGACGAAATCGCGGATGACGTTCCCGACCAGCATGGACGGATAACGACATGGGACGACCGACGACGTTCACGCCACTAGCCAGCGAGGTCGAGACGACGTTGACGACACAGCGGGCCAGCGCGGATAGGACAAGGTCACGACTCAAGAGTGATGTTCATGGGTCAACCCGGGTTAGTTTTGGGTTTCTGAGTCAACCGAAACTCGACCCAATTTTACAAACATGTCGGAATCCCGAGCCCAAACCCTCCCAGTTTCTTAAACAAGTTGACCCTAATCCGAAATTTTCAGGTCAGGTTTTTGGATCGTGTCAAATATTGACACCCCTACCTCAGACCTCTTGTTTGGTAGCCACAACTCTCAATCAATATATCAAAATTAGCTGCGTAAATTGCATGCATAATATATAAAATTTTATTGTTTACAAATTAATACACTCTCGTACCTGATTTTCAAATTCCCTCCACTAAATATTAAATTTCGCAGCAAACCCCGACATAGAAAATAATTCGAGTGTTACTTCTGCATGTGTAATATATGAGTAAATCAACCTTTTTTATAATGATTGTTAAATAAATCAAGAAGTTTATGGATTTTTATGAATTCATTTGGGTAAGAAGTTGCAAGAAATCTTGCATGATGCATTATTAGAGATCATTCAATCATGTTCTCTAAATTGGATTGTTTTTTTTTTTTTTTTACAAAAAAAGATTCATTGATAATAAAAAGAGAGATACAATAGCAAATGACCCACAGCCCAAAAAGTAGAATAATGAAATCCCAAAAAATTCAAATAGTGGAGGAAAAGCAACGGAAGGGGACTCAGGAACGGAGGTCCCCAGCACCATCATAGCAGCCAAACACGAATCATTCGTAGGTGACAGAAAACAATCGCAAAATTAAAGCCAAGACACTCAGGTTGCCAGCCAGCTCATCCAACAAGGGGCAATAGGGACCTCTTCATCACCGTCCAACAAACCAACAAAAAGCACCAACTTAATAGCAGAGCCAAAACATAACACCTATTTCTTCATGCCTTTTCTTTTTTGCTTATTGTCATTCACATTAAGGGCACCACGCATAGCTGATCGATCCTTCTCAAATTCCTGATACTTAGATTCTTCTCCACTAGAAGGAGAAGAATAATCCTCTAAAATCAACTAGTCATTCTAAACCAAAATAGAGTTTTTCAAAGACTTAGCCACTTGCTCATTCATTTCCACATTAGACATTACCAAAATAGGGATATTAACTAAATTAACATTGCCCTCCAAGCCAACAGAGGAGGAGACAACATCAGGATTCATAGAACACCCACGCCACCAGCTGATAAAAATTAATAGGAGAGACGGAAGAAGCAGACTGCTCAGCGACCACACCAAGCAGTTCAGCAGAGGCCAAACAGGACGGGACAGACACCGCACAAGACAAACCAGGTTTCAAATTCACACAACAACTCATTATACCAACATCACTAAGACATAAACATGGGGCATGGGCAACATTAACCTCCCCAACCACAATAGAGTCCACTTGAGTTAAAAAAAGGGAGTAGAAACGGCTAGTGAACCCAAATTCTCCTTATGACCAAAATGAACGCCCACAACAACATTCAAAAAATTAACCACAGCAGGAGGCAGCTCAACATTAGAAGGGGGAGAAGGAACTAACACAAGAATAGGATACTCATTAGGACTATGTCCCTCCAGACCAAAAGCACACCATGCAACAAGTTCAATGGGCACAACACACATAGGGGTTAAATAATAACAAAATTAATATCTCTAGAGACAGGCAACACAGCTAAGACATAGACATTGGCAACAACAATCGTAGAACTGTCAATACCAGGATTAGCAACCGACTAAACTAAACCCAAGTTTGAATCAGGATCCACAATACCTGAATCCACATTTATAACAAGCACAAGGACACGACCTGCCTTCGCCAATTGCATATGCAAAACCAAACACTTTGTAATAGAGTGACCCAAAGCTTTGCAATGCAAGCAATAAGACAAACATCTTCCATAACAACCGATTGAACATACCCCAGATTATCCAGGCCAACCCAAACTTTCTCCGAAAATTATTTCAAAACATCCAATTTAATCAAAACACGAGCAACAGAGGGCATTATGACTTATCCATACGAGATTAGCTGATAGATTGAGGTGGGTGGCTGGAAAATCGAACTGATCGACCATCTAAGGATTTCTGGAGAGAACAGGTATGGGGGGTATGCAAATTTCTGATTAATAGATCCCAAACAGGGACAATAGGGGATTCAACATCCACATTAAACGAAGGCGACCACTTGATCAATCGCATATAGAAATTGTTAATAAAATAGGAATGATGCATAAAAACATGACAGTAATCTAAATCATTCGCTAATTTAATCAATACATTCTTCGAATTGACCACAATAACAAAAAAATTGCCATTGAGTTTAAGATTGAAAAAAAAAATCTCTTAATAGCATCAAGGGGTGGCCGGTGGAACAGAAACTTCCCAACCAATGCGAACTCAAATGGAGTGGCTAGAGAAAGCACCTCAGCCTCAGAAATCCATAAGGAAGGCATCCCACGATGAGAAGAAATCTTTAAATCAGGGAAGGAAGAAAGGTTAACCAAGAGAGCATCTCTAAAAGACTTAGAAGAAAAAATTACCCACAAGAAAACTGGCATCGAGCAACTTCAAACCAGCCATCGAAAAGAATAGACGTAAAAATATAGAAAAGGAACAAGGAAGGCACAAGAATCACTTTCCTGACCGAGGAGGAGGTAGCAGAAGGTGCGACCACAAGTGGAAAACCCAAATTGCCGCAGAGGGAGAAACCCTAGCAGAGCTCATCGGGCATATTGAGTGATCCCTTACTTACTCTTCATTATGCTTTAAAAAATTTGAACCATTTCTCGATTTATGCGTGTCATCCTTGCATAGGGGCCATGCTAATCTTCTCTATATCATTCCAATTTTATCGGATGTCTTTGAAGAGACATGTTCTCTAAATTGGATTATGGTTTCACATCTTTGTGGCATTAGGGTTATCATATATGAACTTTGTGGAAAATCTACATGGTGTTATGAGATAAACAAAGGTGATATAAAGGGTTTAACAGCTAAAGGTTATTAAATGAGAGCATTGAGGATGGTTCTAGAGGCATAAGTATGTGATTGGGATGTCATTAGCCTAAATTAGCCCTATAAAATTTTCTAAAGATTTTAGCTTAAAGGTCAAGAAAATACGACTTAACAACTAGTATTTGGAGATTATTGATAGCTTGCGCTTACTTATTTTCCTTTTGTTGGTTTTTATCTTCCTCTTTAGAGATGTTATTAGGATTTTTGGTTGTGAATTACTCCATCCTTTCTCTAAATTGGATGGGTAGCTAAGAGAGAATGATATATAAATAATTGAGTATTCGATATGTGATATGGTGTGTAGCTTGCTTACGATTATGTGTGGATACATTTGGAATGCAAGTGTAGTACAGCTAAACAAGGGAGGTAAAATGGAAGTTAATTTCAAGAAATTTATGAGGTAACTAACATAGGTTGAATAAAATATCATCGTGGTGGTTGACTAGGTGGGGTTCCAGGGGCTAGATGGATTAATTGGAGTTTATGATAGCTTATGTGAGGTCCAAATCAACTTAGTTTTAGGCCTTGGGTCATTTAGGTTAGATTTGACTTGATATAGTTAGGATAAAGGTTTAAACTAAGATAGATGTAGAAGTAATCCACTAACTCAAAGGGTTTTAGGGTATAACTTAATTTAATTTTTGTTTCCTTATCATAGGTTTAATTAATTTTGATCTAATTTAGAATTTACGATTAACCTAATTAACTTAAGATTGACTATATCCTAGGTTGATTAATTTACATCTCGGGAGGGTTAGTTTGATCTAAAGTTGGGTTAGGGTAGATTCATGTTTGTGTCATATGTGGGGTTTTAAGAGTGACCAACATATGATTTAATGCTAATCTAACATATAGGATTAAAAGGTAGGTGCATATTTGACATATTATCAAATGAGCTAGGTTATTAGTTCACCAAAGGCATAAGTGTACTGGCTAATTTCCTTTACATGGGAGAGAGAACTTTTAATTAAAGCAAGTAGCACATAATATCTCATATATTATTTATTTTAACAACTTTATTTTTACAAGAGAAGAGATAATGCGCTCTTGGCTAAGAGGAGCTTGATAGGAGATATGTAACTTGCTCATTCAATATCTTATGGTTACATTATCTTGAGAAGTCATGGATCTTGAGACGGTGATCGGTGGGATAGAAGTTGGAGGGCTGTGATAGTTATAGAGTCCGTAATTGGCAAGCGAAAGTGGTTAGAGGGACCATAATCGATGGACATTTGTGGTCATAACAGCTTGTTGATGGCAGACAAGTGGATATCATGTAGTAGTCCGCGGTTGGTCAAAGGTCCAATGGTGATTAGCGGACGAGTTGTGGTCTGATAATGGTCAGTGATAGTGTAGATGTTTGGCGGAGGTCGGCTCTCGGCAGATAGGCGGAGGTCCTGTGGTAGTAGGCGATCGGACAAAGGTCTGATGGAGGTCAGCGGACGGGCGGTGGTTCAGTCCTAGTCAGGCGAACATGTGGTAGTCCGACAACGATCGACAGAAATACTCTAATGATGATGCTTGTGTAGAACTCTAGGATTCTTGAAGCCTATAAACTCTATATATTTTTTAGCAAAAGGTCCCTTCATGAAGAAAACCATGAGCCTATTTTATGGATTTTTATGAGTGGCACGGTCTGTAAATATAGAGAAGATTTAGGACAAACTCAAAGTGCTCCATCAAATGGCCCATACCGATTCCCTCGATCATATATATTTTTTCAAGATTATGTTCAAAACATAAAAAATAGTAATGGGGACATAAAAAACGTTTGAATCTAATATCCATGCTAAAAATTTAGCCCATACGCAAATTGACGATAAAATTGGCAGGCCGCATGCGACGCCTACTAGCACGAGCAAGGGGGGCGTGCAGTGGCCCAAATATTTGTTTTCTTGTATCGCCTTATAGAGGCAGCTACAGTACCGTCTTAAAGAGGTAGTAGAATCTTTTAAAATTATTTATTTATTTATTTTAAAAAGAAAAAAAATTATTTTTGGCCCAAAAAATTTCTAAAAAATAAGATTTTTTCTCTCAATTATCCCTTAAGAAATCTATAAATATCCCCATTATGAGTTATGGAGAGAGCACACACGTTGGAGACTTTTAGTGATGATCAAGATTGGTGGTGATGAACAATATCGACAGCGGCGATCAAGACCTGATACTTTTATGTAGGCTTTAATTCTCCCATTGTGGGGAATTAAAACAATCCAAGAAGAGTTAAATACCAGTGGTGGCGACGATCAAGATCCGATTCTTTTACATTGGTTCTAGTTCTCCCCAATTGGGGACAAACTGCCTAGCAAGAATTAAATATTTGTGACGACGACGATCAAGATCTGACACTCTTATATAGAATCCAGTTCAAGTTCTCCCATGCTGGGGAAAAACTGATCGATAAGAGTTAAATATTGGTGGCAACGATCAAGAACTAGTACTTTTACGCATGGCCAATTCTCCTCTGGTAGGGGGAAAACTATCCAACAAGAGTTAATTATCGATGGCGATGATCAAGACCCCGTACTCTTACATTCTCCCCTGGAGGGGGAAAATTGTCTTAGGATTAATGATGTCGGTTGTCAAGTTGCATTTTATTGAAGGCAATAGGCACTGATACTGATAGGGGTGGATAGTAGATAGTTTGATGGAGAGGGTCGGATGGTGTGTTAATGGTAGCAGCTTAACAATATACTAATTATATCAATTGAGTGAAGATCTGATGGTGACTAAACTCCTTGAAGAAGATGTTGGGGGAGAAATGAATCAATACACCTCCGAGGCACTCTACTAGGGTTTTTGCCCTAGCATACGTCCTCACTCTCCTTGACTATTCAGCCATTTCATGGCCTTGTCGCTTTCAATTTTCTCCGTCCCCCTTCTTCCCTTTGGGTTTTCTTCTTTGTTTCGCACTTGATCATGCATTTTCCTGTTGGATTGGCTCTGATGGCTACTATGTGTCTGTCTGATCGTAGTTTCCTTCATGTTCCTTTCTTGAAGCTTTATCTAGGGCTTCATCGCCAGAGTTTTCTGGCCTAAAAATTTTGACATACTATGGGCTTTTATCATTGTGAATATCAGAAGCTGAAGTGTTGGCCTTGCTCAACCTTTTGAGTTTGCTTTAGTTGGTAAATTCCTAAATCACAGACCATTGGTTGACACGATTCATAAGTTCTTCTTTAACCTTAAGCTAATCGGTGATTGCTCGGTGACTGTTTTTGGATCCAAGACATGTTTTAATCAAGCTGATGAATGATTTGGATTATAGTAGAGTGTTCTCCCACCGGTCTTACTTTGTCTCCAATTTTTACATGAAATTGACTAAGTGATCTCGTTTATTTGGTATTTATGTGGAGTCTCCAGTTATACCGATTTGGGTTTCTTTCTCAAACCTCTGCCCACATCTGTTTACGCCTCACATTTTTTATGGTTTAGGCTCTTTATTTGGGCATCCACTTCAAACTAATAATGTGACTGTTATAGGATCGCAGTCTTTTGTTGCTCAGGTCCTTGTCGAATTAGATATCTCCAAATCCTATCCCGAGTTTGTTTGGATTGGCCCTTACAATATTGGTTCGATTTAATAAGTGGCTATGAAAGAACTTCCTCCTTTGTGATCATTGTAAATATTTGGCTCATTTTAAAAATAATTGTAGCATTCTTCACCCTCATTTAGATAGGCTCCAGTAGACTGTGGCTAAGCCTGTTGTGAATTCTATGGGAAATGATAATGTTACAAAGTAAAATTCAGATGTTGTGAACTAACAAGGTGTCTTTATGAGTCTTGATCTTGTGGCTCCATATCCTATTTTGACCCCTCATGGTTTATATCGATTCCAAGATGTTTCAGTGGCTTCTGATGTTAATGTTGCTTTACCCTTTGTTGACTCTTCTTTGGTGGATGATGGTATTGGCAATTTTGATATGGTTTGCTTAGATTTTAATGCCCCTGTTGTCAATAATTTCGTTTTCCAAGTAATTTTTTCTTTAAAGGAGTTGGCTTTTTTCGTTCAAGGAACTTGTGAGGGTGCTAATGTTGAGGTTAACATTATATCGGTAACACCTGCTTCTGATATAAACCATGTTGATTCAATTGTTGTTAGCATGGAAGTGCCGAAGGAAGGTTTTTCTAATTTAAACCTTGGGAATTTCAATTCGAAAAATATGAGGATTTGTGGTATTAACAAGGTGGTTTTAAATGAGTCTTCTAGTGCCATGGTTGTAGCTTGTGATGATTCTTAAGTGACTTCATTGGAAACGTCTGGTTCACCTATTAGTGTGACCTTTATCGATGTCACAATTAATCTTATTTCAAACGATGAGTTGAAAGCTCATTTGGAGTTGAAAGTGAAAGATTCTTGTGAGGTGCAATCAAATTTGCTTGATGATGCCTTTCCCTCGCCTTGCGGGAGAGTTGGGGAAGGCTTTGATGGGCATGATGATGAGTTTCAGGCGTTATATAATTTGAAAGTTGGTTGCGTTTTTTATAACGATTTTTCCATTGGTGGTGGAAAGCATCGCAGACATAAATCTAAAAAGTATGTTTGGTTTATGTGATTTTTCTTTCATTGGTTGTTACCATTCTTACTATTGTTGATGTGCTCTCTTGGTCGTAGGGATCTGTGTGGTTACTAGCTGTGTTGTGGATGTTGCCTCTTATGGCTGCTGTACTTCGTGGTTTTGAGCCTTATTTATATGTACAGGCGGATCCACGTTGCCCACCCTCAAACTGTAAAATAGAATAAAAGGAGGGATAATTTTGACCTTTTGCCCCCCTCCCTAAATTTATTTATTTTGCCCTAGTCTAAGGTATTTGCCCAGCTCCCAATTTTTTGCCAGGATTGAGTCCTCATTTGATTGGACGTTTTTTTTTTTTGTACTTATTCGATTTTAAAAAGATAAATTTATTTCTTTTGGTTGAAACACATCCCTCAAATCACATCCCCAGTAACACCATTGTATGTTGAATTTGGTAAATATGCAGAAAATGCATCTGTTGAAAGAAGTTGAATGGGCATGCGAAGGTTTCCTTCCATATTAATATGCACAATTCAGGATGTGAACTCATTTTTTATATCAAATTCTAAGCTATTTGGAATAAAGAAAAAAGGGTTTTTATTCGTGGAACGAAGTATGAGATTTGATAATTTACATGGCTCGAATTTCGGCTCTGATGATGTGCATGGGTTGCGCGGTAGAGGAAATACGCCTCATCCGTCTAATTTTGAGGTTGTTGTCATCTAATTAATTAAAATTTTGCTCACCCTGAAAAAAGAAGTTGGATCCGCCCCTGTTTATATGATATGGACAATGATGAGGTGGAATTATGCGTGCTGGCTCGTTGGCATTGGCTTGCTAGCAACCTTGGTGGTTTAGCTTATGTGCTTCGTGGTTTTCCTTTGGTTGCCTTGTGACTTACTGCCTCCAATGGATGGTCTTGGTCCGCCGACTCGGAGATTGCAGGATACTTCTTGCCACCTCTTGAGTGCGACTGGTTTCTTCGCCTTATTCACTCTGATGCCTTATTATTGATAGATTTTTTGCTACTTTCTTTTGGAGTTCAAATTTATGATCAAATTCATATAAAAATATCGGTAAAACCTTAAATGTAAGATATTAAGTTTAAAAGCCTATGCTCTAACAATTAGGCTAAGCATCCCATGCCTAATCTCCAGCCTGTGCTTGGCAGATTATTTCCAACGTGCCCACAACAGTCATTAAAAATTGCAGCATAGGAACGACAATTATTGTACGATAATCATGTGCTCGTTCGGGCCACACGATGAAGTCATGTAAACCGGCGCTGGGCCCCACCTTCCCCCCTCCCTCCCAGCCTTCCACCGCCCAGCTGCTTATATCTTACCGACCGAAGCCCGAGCGAACCCAAAATCCCCTTCCAATACCTTTCAAATGGAGGAACTGATCTCCCCTTCGTCATCTTCCTCTCCTACACCTCCCCCCTTCTACTCCATCCAACCCCAACCCCTTACGATCCCACCGGGAAATTCGCCGGAAGCTCTCCCAACTTCGGGTCTTCAGTACATCCTCCAGTGCTTGCTGCACTCACGCTCTGAATGGTGGACTTACGCCATTTTCTGGCGGGTCTCCCCTGACCACACGCTCCTGAGCTTTGGCGACGGCCATTTCCGTGGTAAGCTCGTCTCCGCCACAGCCGACGGAAGCAACGACGGAGACGACGCCGAGTGGTTCTACGCGGTATCGCTAACCCGATCCTTCATCATCGGCGAGTCCACCATGCCGTCCCGCGCCTACGGCTCTCTCGCCCCTGTCTGGCTCACCGGCTCCCACGCGCTCCAAACCTGCGGCTGCGATCGATCACGCGAAGCCGAAATGCACGGCATTGAAACCCTAGTCTGCATTCCTTCGTCCACTGGCGTCCTCGAACTCGGATCCTCCGATCTGATAGGCGAAAACTGGGTTTTAGTCCAACAAGCAAAATCTCTCCTCTCCACCGCCGACGAACCCACCGCCGCACTCTCTCAATCTCAGCCAACCCCCCATCTCTCCAAAAACGGCCATTTCACCGGCTTATCTTCGTCAGTCGATTCCGAGCATTCCGATTCTGAAGGCGGGCCGATGGTCGACCGGCGCCGACCGAAGAAGAGGGGAAGAAAGCCGGGATCCGCTCGGGAGACAACGGTAAACCACGTTGAAGCCGAGCGGCAACGGCGGGAGAAGCTCAACCACCGTTTCTACGCCCTAAGATCCGTAGTCCCCAACGTCTCGAGAATGGACAAAGCTTCCCTGCTCGCCGACGCTGTTTCCTATATCAAGGATCTTAGAGCAAAGGTAGAAGAACTCGAGGCGGAGGCCAAGAGATCGAAAAAGGAGGTCGTTGTTGACCAGGGAAATAGTTCTGGTGGTACTCCGACCAGTGGATTAACCGGCGAGCCGGCAACCATTGAGCTCGAGGTTAAACTTCTCGGCCATGACGCCATCATCAGAGTTCAATCTGAGAACTTAGTCCACCCGCCGGCGAGGTTAATGGCTGCGCTGCGCGACCTGGAGCTTGTGGTTCACCACGCCACTGTATCAGGTTATAAGGAAGTTATGATGATACAGGATGTGGTTGTTCGGGTGCCTGAAGCGCTACAGAGCGATGATAAGTTAAGGTCTGCTTTACTCGTTATGCTACAGAAGAGTGAGTGAGTGAATGTGTGCCCGCCGGCGGCGGCGATTAGTCGCCGTGGTTTTGATATGCTTTTTTAATCGGTGCATGATCCGCTCATGTGCACACTGGACAATAACAGAAGTACTGACTGATGAGTGGGCATAAAAGTTTTTGTGTGAAGGGCCTCTGTTGTCCTTTTTTTTAATATTAAAATAATGAGAAATGATTTTCCAAAAAAAAAAAATTTATATAGAGAGCTTTTAAAACATTTCTGCATGTTAATACCAATCAATTAAAATAAAATGAATTATTAGGATGGAGAGATTAGGACAGTGTTGTTTATATTTTATTCAATATTGCTATCTCATAATAAGTTATAAATAAATACACAATTAATCAATGGTTATATGGATTTTTGGATTGTTTTGATGCGAGTAAAATGGAGAAATTATTATGTGTGGAGTTTGGATGGGAAAATTTGTTCGTGTACTATATACAGTGTGTATCAAATTAGTGTATACATTATTTATATACAGCGTATGCACTATCAGTTTGGACGGTTCTTTTCATTTGGACTCCGCACAGAATAATTTCTTAGTAAAATGTGGTTGAAAAGAACAATTCGTATGTCAAATTTATTTATCTTCATATTAATTATTTTCAGAGTAATTGATGAGAAATTGTTAAAATTATTAAATCAATATGAAGTTTTTAGCGTAATATTAGTGGTATTAAAATGGATTAACAAGATGAGTTTGGGTTCAATTCGAAATTGACTCGATCTAAATCAAATCATAAACTGGTCAGATAGATAAATGTGAAACTAACCTAACAATCCATTTTGATTAAAAAATTATGTAATATGTCAACCATAAAGTTTAGGTTAATTAATCAAAAGTAAGAAGTGTGTATCAACAAACAAAATATTTTAAGAAAAAATATATAAATAGGTCACTATTAAGCCAAAATTAAGTTCATGGTTTAAACCGAATATGACTTGTCAATTAAACAGGTTAGATTCAACACCTGAACTAACCTGCTTATTAAACGGGTGAACTCGAATAAAATTTTTTCAGCTCTAGTCTCATTTGAGTTTTCTAGTTGAGTCTAATATTTCATTTAGATATAAATAACTTCACCCATGAGAATTAAATTAGGATGTATTTTATATTGAAATAATGTTTTTTTACTTAGGATAAAATAATTATTAATATATTTTTTTTTATATTTTGAAGAAACATTTTCTTAAATAGTTTATATGTGCATAGAATTACTTATTTTAAAATATGTGAAAGATGATGCGTAAGACATGAGTTAGATATTAGCTTTAATTTGAGTAAAATTATGGCGCCCAATATAGAGCTAAAAGAAATAAACTTCACCTTGAAATGAATGACTTCTCATATCTATTTATCACATGACAAACTCATATCTATTTATCACATGACGGTCCAAGAGCTCTAACACTATCTCCAACCGACCCTCCTTCGACCATCACCGCTCAATCACCCGGTTACCGACAACTGTCGGACTTTCACTTGACCATTGTCGGACCATCACCCGGTCACCAACCATCGACAGACTTCTGTTCAACAATCGTTGGACCATTACTTGGCCACTGACCACCTTCGGACATCCACCCCGGCCTCCAACGGCAGCTGGACTCCCGCTCAACTATCGTTGGACCACCACCCGGCCATCGGTAAATCACAGAACCTCCACGAGACAATTGTTAGCCACCGCCGATGTTCCTTCAAACAAATGTCACATGCTGCCTAAGGTCCCTATGACCACCCTCGCTCGCTGATGATGGTCCCTCCAACCTCTGTCACTCGCCAACTATTATCTCTCCGACCACTATTGTTCGCCAATAATAGTCCCTCCATCTTCCGTCGCTTGCCAACTACGGTATCTCTGAACCCCGTTGATCGCCGACTAGGGTTCCTCCAACCTCAGTCGCCCGTCGATTATGGTCCCTCTGATTTGCATCGCTTGTCAACTACGATCTCTCTGACCTCAATCTTCCACAGACTATGGCCCTTTCAATTTCTGTCGCTCACTGATTACGGTCCCTCCGACCTCAATTACTTGCAGACTATTATTCCTCCAACCTATATATCCGTCAACTACTGTCCCTCCAATCTTAGTCGTCCGTTGACTATATAAACTAACAATGAAGGCCAAGTATTATAAAGCCCAAAAAATGTGGTCTTTATTTCTTCATGAAGAAAATTAATAAAATTAAAATCGAATGGTTCATATAAAAGAGTAAATCAAGCAAAGATTGCTACGGCTTTCTGACAAAAAGGATCCCATTATATAAACAGCTCTACGCCTACAATTGAAGGCATAAATGCTTAATTTATGTGCAATTACAATTTGTAATTATTCTTTTTTGTTTTTTTTTTTTTTTTTTTTTTTTTTTTTTTTTTTTTTTTTTTTTTCATTTTTCATCTTTTGTCGATCTATAAGGTATAGGAATTGGGCGATTGTGGTAGGTTTAGTTTTCAAGAGGCCATTGGGCTCCACTTTGTAATTAAGACTTATATTTAAAATTAATAATTATGAGATTATCTTAGGATAAATAAATTTAGAATAGGCCTATTATAAACTCTTCCTAAATTATGAACTTGTTTGAGGATGATAGCTTTTTTAAAAGATGGTTGTAAAGCTCTTGTTAGAAAATTAACTTTTTCAAAAGCTGAACTTAAAGGCAGCTTTTTAGTACATTAAATTTTTTAAATCAATAAGAAAATAATAGCTAAAGTCCTGAATAATTATTTACATGAAGAAAACCTTGTATTTAATTTATTTTAATTGTCTTCCATTATTTGATATGAATATCCAAATTGGCAAAAGAGGAGTCAATATTGTCCAAAAATATTTGAGTCCAAATAGTTTGATCAAATTTTGATAAAAATAAATTTAAATTATTAAATATTTATAATAATTTTTAATTAAAAATATTTTTAGGTTTTTTTTGGGGGAAATTTTGAGTTTATTAAATAAAATTTATACATATATCACATATGTAAATTTTGAATATATATCTTAATTAATAGTCGAAGCTCTTAATCATGCAACTCATTTTGATTTAAAACTTATGTATTCAAAAGAAAAAAAAAAAAGGGCTCCAATGTATAAAGAGGTCTTTGATTTAGAGGTAGCTCATTTTGATTTAAAGAGGTAGCTCATTTTGATTTAAAACTTATGTAGCTCATTTTGATTTAAAGGCAGCTCATTCTATATAAAGAGGTCTTTGATTTAAATCTTATGTATAATTTATCTTAAGGCTCCAAGTAAGAAAAAAAAAAAGTCCAATGAGCTACATAGAAATATTTTAGTTAATTCTAGAGATTTATTTATATAATATACCACTTTATTTTATGTTGATTATATATTAAAACATAAAACATTAATATTACATGCATACCCTCATAAAACAAATTAAGTGTATTAAATAAATATTAAAATTTATAGATTGTAGGGTGAAAAAATGAAATATATAAGTGATATATTGATATTAAAATTTTTATTAGTGATAAAAATATAATATTAAAATTTTAAGATATTAAATATATAAATACATAAAATAAATGGTATGAAATATAATCTCCAAATTCTTTTTGAATTATTCTCTGCATGGTGGGGGAGACCGATAGGCCTGTCAACAAAAGCTCTTTACATCAGCTCTATTTGTTTGGAGAAGCATCTTCTTGCGAATGATATATAGTGTGGATGATAAATGTGGAAAGGTGAAAGAGGAAATTAATCAATAGCCCTATTGTTTTAATATTGAAAAATTAAAGATGTATCTTAAATTAATATATATTTCATGAAAAAAATTGTAGAATTTTTTATATTAAAATCATGATAATAAAAATATAATATATTAGAAAATATTTTTAAAAAATATAGTAGATTATTTATCAAAAAAAAGTAAAATATTTTCTATTTTTGAATATTTTCTCTTATTTTTATATAAATTATATTACTGTGTATGATATACTTTTTTATTAAAATCATCAAATTATATAATTGCTAAATTTTTTCTTGAAATAAATAATGTGTATAAATATTTATTTATATATTATTTTTTACCCTTTTTTGTTCATTTTCTATAATACACTATTCTCATATTTATGACTTTCTCTCTTTAAACTCACTTTCCAGTTTCAGAGTAATTTCACTGTAACTGGATTTCATTTCTCAAATAAATAAATGTGATTTCTCCCGGCTAATTAGGCTCAAACTGTCCTTAAATTCAAATAATAAATAACCTAAATAAAAAATAAATAAATAAGAAAAAACCAACAAACAATGTAAAACACTAGTGAATTATTTTCAATTCGGCGTAAGCTCTATGGTTTTTCCCTTTCAGGGTTTCCACGTAAAAATCCCGGTGTTTTTTTTATTCTCTTACGTTTGTTGGCTGATATTGTACAACACTGAGACAAAACTTTCTAACTCTATCGCCGCGTATTTCTAGCCGCAACAGTTTGATTCGAGACGCAGGAGCAAAAAAAAAAAAAAAAACAAGGCTTTGTTAAATCCACACATGAATTGGAGGTGATAGTGACAACTATGATGTGAACTGTCGTGACTGGGATGAACCACGTAGACGTATTGCTAGTACCGTGCGATGAGTGAGTGCTGATTATAGCAGAGGCGTGGGGAAGGGCTGAGATACCAACACGATTGGAAGTCTGACATGGATTGGGATGAGAGCACAGCGCGAACGCTGACGATTTTAGTGAACTGCGGGTGATAGCGAGGTTCCGGGAACAGGGAACGCGAGTGAAGCGAACCAGCGAGGATCCCCTCTCGATGGATCATGTTAGGAAGCGCGTAGCGAGTTTTCGTGTCAACCCGAGTCTACCGTTTTATAAAGGGTCAGAATTCGAACCTGACCACCCATATGACAAATGGTCGACCCGAACTAATTTTCTTCTGGTCAAATTTGACACCTAATTGTATCATCTCAGATAATTTAAGGACTTTTAAAACATATCTTTAATGCATTTTAAATTATAAATACATGATGAATTTTGGTTCTTATTAAGATCTGAGTTCGTTTTTGGATGCTTTCTTATTGATTTATAAAACAGTTTTTTAGTACAAAATTTTTACTTAAAAACTACTTTAAAATGATAAAAAAATAGTCCCAATGAAACCTAAATGTCTCCCATTTTAGGCATATAATTGTACCAATGGAAAGACAAAACCATTGCTATCCTTATTTTTTGGCTGTGTACAGGTGAAGCTATT